GGAGGGCCCCCACGAGGCCCAGGAGGGGCCCCCTACCCTCCCCCTCGAGGGCCTCCCATAGAGTTGCTGCGTCTCCAGTAATATCCAAAATGAGATTTTCGCGCCGAAGCAAAAGTCCCCGAATTGCTTCCAGACGCTCCGCCACTGCGGGCCAGTCAGCCTCCGCCTGCAGCAAACGCCCAGCAGCAGCAGCAGCAGCAGCAGCAGCAACGCTCTCAGCCCAGCACGTCCTGCTCAAGGCAGCAGCAAGGGGGCCCCCCGACACAGCAAGTACCCAAGTACCCTTGGGGGGCCCACCACACCCCGCCCGAACCCGCCCGAACCCCCGCTGCACCACTAAACCCCTCTAAAGACCCTCTAAAGCAACTCCAGGCGCCCCCGGGAAACCGCAGGGGCCCCTGGGGCCCCTGAGGCGCCCCCGGGAGACCGCAGGGGCCCCTGGGGCCCCTGGGGCCCCCCAGGACCCTCTAAAGCCTCTCTGGGGCCCCCAGGGGGCCCTCCAACACCCTGTGGTACCCCCAGGGGGCCCCCGGTGCCCGTAGGGCCCCCTCGTGAGGGCCCCCCAAGGCCCCCTGAGGGCCCTCAAGGCCTCCTGGGGCCCCCCAAGACCTCCTGGGGCCCCCCGAGGCCCCCAGAAGCCCTGAGGGCCCCCGGGGGCCCCTGGGGGCCCCCAGGGGCCCCTGGGGGCCCCTGAAGGTGTTGTGTTTAGGACCTGTTTGAGGAGTTTGCGGAAGAACTGGAGGCTGTGGTAGCCGTGGGTGCGTTCGAGCATCAGGGCCTCGAGGCTGAAGGCGCTGCGGGCGAAGACTCTTGCAGTTTGAAAAGCTCTTTCTCGAAAAGATTTTAATCTTTCGGAAATTAATTCTTTGATGAACTGCAGCCCCAACTTGCTGTCCGAGAAGTCCAGCTCCACCAGAATTGCATGCAGCAGGCACCACAGGGCCGCCACGCGCGACTTCGTGGCCTGCAGCAACGTCCAACAACCCACAACAACGCTCCAGCAGCAGCAGCAGCAGCAGCGGCAGCAGCAGCGGCAGCAGCAGCAGCAGCGGCAGCA